TTACAGCATTTTTGATGATTTTGCGATGGTGAGGCACATTCCACCATTGCCTTCTTCCTCGTAGGCTCTTGACAGCCCACCCCTCATATTTAAGGGAACATAGTTGGTAGGGGGTGGTGGCTAGTAGTCGTCATTTATTCTTTCAGCATACTCCAACCTAGCGAGCGTCTGAAACTGACAGCTGATCAAAGCCGGAGTCTCAAGGACACGTAATATGTAGGGTCTTAACCTGCCACCTGTCACTACTTTGCAGAGCATCTTCTGGCTTTCAAGTTGTCATGTTATGTTGCAAGGATGTCACTTGGGTGGGTTCAGAAGGGGCAGTGGAATGTCTCTTGCACTGCTCTCAAGTGACCGGTATGTGCTAGTGCGGAATTCGCGGCGCTGGAGTCATGTTGTGTCTGTGGAGTGCGTTTAAAAATGCGGTATGCGCCATAAAAAAGTATGCTGCAGCTTCACAGTCATGCGATTGACAGCATTTTTTTTTCGCTTGTCTGTCATCCGTGATCCAGGCTCGATCCCCGTGTCTCAGGATGCTCTTCCGTACTGAAGGGAGGCTGCAACTACCTGGAAGAGTTTCCATTCCACTTGGAGGTCACGATCAGTTTCATCACGTCCGTCCAGGGCATGAGGAGTTCTGATTAAATTTTGAGTCGGCCCAGTAGATCAAGTTTGGTCCCGTTTGGATTCTTGAACGTAAATTCGACTGGCCCAGTGGTAACCACGCGGCGGCGCTTCATGGTACGGGGCCACTGGAACCCACCTGAAGCCCTGAAGCCAAACCTGCATGATGAAAACAAGTCGTTCCCCGCACCCCAACTCAGACCCCAACTTCAGAAATGGTGGTGGGCGCATGACTTTCCGAGATCAATGCACTCAAAAAAGTACCGTTGGAAACACGCCTGACGTGCGCCACCTCCCACTCCTTTTACTACTACCTCTGCTACTACAACGCATGAGGTTATGAAATAGCTCAGCAGGAATTGAGCGCTCAATTATTGCAAGCAGGATGATGCTGCTCCAGAACATTAGATGAACAAGAGTCATGCACTTGTCTCGGTATTTTATTGCTGCTTCCGCCCACACCTGTGAGGATGATCATGAAACTGCCGGATGGTCAGGCTTAGCATTTTGACCTCAACTGGGACTTCGTACTATGAGACATAATTGCCTAGACTGTGCCAACAGCGCCCCGCACCATAAACACTAAGTCTGTGAGTGTGAGTCTCCAACTCCAAACTTTGCGTGCGTGCACTCAGCAGTCCAAAATCTGCACTCTGAGGCCACCTTCATGACTGGGCGCATGCCGTTTCACACCGGCATCAACAGATGGCTGCTGAGCGTGGAATTTTGAATGAGAGTGTTGAGCAATAATGGGCTGGCTTTTCCTTGGACTTGAATGCTGGATTGAACAGACTGTACCTTTTTGCAAAAGATCAAGACTCTTCAAAGGGGTTTTAGGTTAGCAGCACTCCTCAAGTTCTGGGTGCGTGGATCAGTTCGTGGAGATGTAGACGTGGACTGCAAGACTTGGGAGGCACCTTGCGATCAAGGTTTGCGTGGCATTTGGGGACTGCAAAGGCGACTTCGCACTTTCGCACCCTCAACTCGTCTTCCCACGGGACAGGAATGCCCAAAACGCTGCAAGCTGCCCTGAACCAAGTTCAGGCTTGTCGTTGCGCTGACGGTGCTCAGACAGTCATTTTTTCTTTCTGGATTGTGGAAGTTCGAATCTATTGCATCTTTTTTTGGTTCTTTCCGTCATATGGCACCGGACATATGCCACCCAGAGCTCAGAGTGGAGGCCCAGGCTCCGGCCTGATAAGTCTTAGTGCTGATCAGTGGTAGTAAGTCCACTGCGTCATCAACACTGACGCTGCTGCGAGGCCCTGGCCACTCACACCTGTCCATCTCTCAACCTTTGAATAGCTGTGCCTGTTCGACACTTGAAAGCTGATTTAAAAACTCCGGCCCCTCCACTACTTGAAGTTACAACTCCCTCAAGATATCTCAAAATCGGACACCCGAGGATCCCGGATGAAGCTTACGGGCTCCCACTGAACGAGACGACCCTGCCGTCACTGCTCCAAAAGCTTGGCTACAGGCTGCTCCTATGAACAGAACAGCAGGATTTTGTCTTGAGTCTGGCCCTTTCTGAGAAGACGGCTTGTGCAGAGGGCCCAAGGGTCCAAAATCCAAAGCTGGAGCGTGGCATGATGGCCGGTTCTTCTGGCTGTGTCCATGTTGAAGCTAGCAGTCGTGTGTTCTTCAGTTCTCATTGAATCCAGCAGGTACACCAAGCCCCACAGCCTTTGAAACATGAAGAGTAGCTGGGGCGTGCGATAGCTTTGGCATTCAAGCTCTTAAAGTAATGCGACAAGACCAGCACTCCCAGGCGCCACATTGTGGGCAAGTGGCACCTGGGTTTCTTCAAGTCGGAGTACACGCCAACGTTCCGAGGTATCGGGCTTCTGGGGTCAAACGATCCGGTTTCCTACTTCAAGCGGACAGATGTTGAGGGCTTGCCTTGGGCGTCTGAGGGCGTTGCGTACAGGATCTCTAAGGGTTTGTGAAAAAGACGTTGATCTCCTTCATTCCTTAGGCTTAGGTAGCTCTCAAACTGTTCAATTTACCGATTACATTCAGAATCTCAATTTCTTTGCATTGGCGGGATGCGAGGTGGTCAGCTTTTGCAACCTGCCTTCCGCAAATGGCAAAGAGCCTACAAACCCTCAGGCTGAACCTAAGCCAGATCGTGAAGCCGGAGCAGGAGAGGATTTGATGTCTGAAACGGATCGTATCACTTCACAACGTAACACTTGTCCCAGAAGAGATCGACTAGTTCAGAATTCGATTTTCTTCCTACCTGTACCTTGTTGACCCAACTATTTGCTTTTGGGATCTGGAGAGAGCGCTGACCGCCTCTAGCAACTAGGACATGACTCGGCACAAAGTCTTGCACTAACTTGCATTGCTTTAGCCTTTGGAGGCTTCGAGTCCTTCTACGGCTATTATGAGGGCTCAGAGGCGGACAAGGGCTTGAAGCTCACGCTGCTGGATGTTACATGTGTGTACGTTCATACTTGTTAGTATGAGCTACTTACTGCAGGACGAGGTGGTAGTTTTTGTAATGTCGGGGCTGTAGAACACATACCACCGCGAGTGATTCTGAAGTTGCTACGGTAGGTGTAGGTGGTTTCTTCGTGTGTGTGGCTCTGCAGAAAGTGCTGGATGGCCGGGTGCCGCTTGTCTTTCTTTCTTCGCTGTCAAATGGGGTTATAGTTGAAAAAGCTCTCGAATTTTAATGATGCACGGGCTTTGTATGCTCGCAAAAGTCAGTCATCATCTCGATCTGATTTTGCCGGGTTGCAGACGCCGCAGAAGATTAGAAGGACAGGTCAGCCGCGGTGCTAGCGATAAATTCGTGGGATTCTGACTCACTAAGACGCAGTCTTTCTGCCACAGCTTTGGGCTAGACAAGGTAGCCAATTCACAGACAGGCCTGTGAAGAGCCTAACGCTTATCTACCTTCTCCTGGAACTCAGACGTACGTCTTTTCTTCCCGCCCTTTCCTGTAGCAGGCTTGGATAGGGTCGCTTGCTTTCTATTTGGACTTCGTGCAGGGATTCCGAAACAGCACGATGCAGGGCATAGATGTAGAACTCTAGAAGCCAAATTCCTGAGGTCCCAGCCCTCAAAACTTCTTCCAATAAGCTTATCTGCAAGTCTTGGTTCCCTGAACCCTTCTAATGCAGATTGATAGCCTCTGATTTTGTCTGGAAGGATTATTTTAGCCACCTGAACGGTGGTAGATGGGACCTTCACCGAGAGCCACGAGAGTGATTTGGCTAAGACTAGGGGGCAATCTCAGGCTTCGTTTAACACATTTTAACACCATAGATTGACAAGTTCCTCCTGGAATGGCTAGAATAAAGGTTGAGGTCACTGACAGCAGCAGTTCGGAAGGCCCGCGTACGACAACGGAGTCCGCACGACACGAGCCATAGACACGAGAGATTCACAAGTAACTTGAACCTCGCTTGGGTTTGGGCTTGGCCGTCTCGGCGTGGGTTGAACGCTTTGGAATTTGCGTTGTGTCGCGACAGAGACTCAGTCCTTGCTTCATGCTTGCAATTCCGCTTGCTGCACATACCAGGACTCGCCTTCTAATCTTCACTTCCCTCATTGCGCTACCATGCCCCAATTCCCTGCGACATGGACACTGCAAGGATGATCCTTCAAGCCCGCCTTGGGAATGGCACAAATCGCTGCAGCACCCATCCCCATTTCACTTCACCCATCCGCAATCTATGGCATCACCTTCAAGAAGGTATGATTGCCACACTTGTGCCTTCCATTGCCACGTGTTTTCGAAGCTGAGCCCCGATCCCAAAACCCAACACTACCCGCCCCAAACGTCGAGAAAGATGATTCTTGGCCTTCAACACCAAGGCGCTGCGGTCCCGGCTGTACGCAGGCGCCCGCAGAGTAGTGAGTAGTGATTGGAAGAGCAGAGTCAGTTAACTGATCATCCTTTCCTAGGGATGTATCTTGCTCGGCTTTGCTTTCCGAAAGCACTAAAGGCCATATTCTTGTGAAGGGCCCAAGCGAGCAGGGATGTTGTCGGTATGGGATGGCTGATGTCCTTGGTAATTGCGTGGACACTCAATTGCGATCGAGTAGGGTCCACACCTCTCCGCAGGTCAGGGGGTGCAATTGTTAACTGCTGATGTTTGCGCATCCACGATCTGCTGGTGATGCCCAAACGCAGTTCTCCTCCTAAAGCACAAAAGGCTCGCTTTTTTGACCCTGGCGGAATGTGTAATAAGGCTGAAGTACACTCCACCCATAACCTAGCCCAGCAAATGAGAGACCATAGTTAGCTTGCGACAAAACCCGCAGCCACAGGCACCCTTCGAGGACAATGGCACATACTCTACAACCCTCTTTGCACAGGATCTGCTTGGCTGAGTGTGCATCAGGGGTTTGGACCAGGGACTGTCACATGTGGGACAAGTGAACGATTCAAGCTGGGTTTTCCACAGTACGCGGCTTTCCCTCAGCTTACTGCTTGCAGTGGTTTTCGGATGTTTCAGATGCCTTGGAGCTGTGTCTTCCGATGGCACCTAAGCACAACCAGTAGCCGTCCCACAGTGTTCGCTGGGGAGATTGTGGGCTCTTTATATAGACGCTTCGACAACACTCCTCAAAGATTGTTCTGCAGTCCTTGCAAGCACCGCTTGAATTTTATCCTCACCAGAACCCAGCCCTTTCATCACCAGATTTCTTGCACGTGGGTGGCAGGAAGCTATCAATATCATTGAGCGTTGCTGGGGAAGCAATGTTTGCTACCTGCAGGATACGGGTGCCGGGTGTCGGGTGTTTCCATGTGGGATTCAGGTCTAAGCACACATCCGGCAAGATTTGCAGTGTGACTACAGTTGGTATCACAGCCTGCGGTAACAGCTATCTGAAGCTTGGATAGAAGACAAAAACGCATATCAGCATTGCACCGGCTTGTTCAGAGGTCTGACCAACCAGAGGCGCTGCAGCGCCAGCAAGAATGTCCTTAAGAAATTTGATGGACATTGAAGTTGCCTCCAGTTAGGGTTTTCTTCCAAGACCTAGACTCCGAGAAGCCAGCAACAGCTTGAAGCCTGGTCTGTTACAGTGCTGTAGGTCACAACGTCTCGGAGCCCCTGTTCCTGTACCAGGCATGGCAAGGCTCGAAGTGGGGTCCTGCCTGGAACGGGGGGGCATTACCCATTGTGCCTGTTAGGTTTCCGTTCGGAGTTTGCACTTCGTTCGGGTTTTGGCCTCGGAATGTCGTACTGATTTCGTGGTCTGAGCTGAGGGATGAAGGTTATGAAAAGTCCTGGGACTTGGTGTTGGCTTTTGGGATCCTGGGGAGTATCGTTTTTTGCATATGACGGTTGATATAGAACTTCAAAACAGCTAGTTGTCATGGTGAGATTCCAACGGGGAAATCCAGAGCAGGTACCCTCGTATTGTAGAACGTTTGCCCACTCCTGGACGCCTGAAAGAAGCATCGGTCAAAGATTGCGTGCTGGATGCAGCTGCGATCAGCTGCGAGCTTGGCCAAGTGGGGTGGGCCCTACACGTCTGTCTACGTCACTGCATTTCAGCTAAATGAGCTTCGCAGGTTGGGCTCAGTGAGGCTTGCAGTTAAATGAGCATGCGGAAGGTGTCCACGCCCCGAGCGAGGCCCCCGACTCTTACGTGAAGCTCTATGAGTGCCCAGGACCGCGCGAGAAGTCAAAGTATTTGGGGTGGGATCTCAAGGTTCAAGGGCAGGTGTATGTGGAGTCCCCCTGCAGGGGGCTGGAGCTTGTCTCGTAAGACTTGTTGGTGCAATTCCAGATGTATTTGGGACGGAGCTTAGATGCCAACAGCCTGGTGCTATTTTTCTGCGACTTCCCCGGTAGCTATCTCTAAAGGCTTCGCACATTTATTCCTAGTGCTTGGTGGGATTGGCAGTGAGCTTTACTTTAATTCCTAGCTACTCCCCCAAAGCTGAAGCATCATGTCAGCTTGTCTCATATGATTCTTGTCGTGGAATCTCCAAGAAGAAGCCAAGGAAGACCATAGCGGACCCCATCCGCCGCCGCTTTGCTGGCATGGTCACAGCCGTGGACGAAGGCTCCAGGGAGGAGGGCAGAGCCGTCTGAAGGGTGGGGGAAAGGGGCTTTTTCAGGTTTAGGCTGCAGGTGTTGAAGTTCAGGTTCTGAGGGTTTAGGTGGCCGTTGCTATTGATCCAAGACCTCCACTGTAGACATGACACACGGGCGCACCTCATGCCGGAACAGCCGTGAACCCACGCTTAGCCAGAAAAAGACTTGATCTTTGCTCCCAGAAGCTGATTTAGAACTCCAGAAGGCTCTTGCGCTCTCAGGCATTGGCAACATCACTCGGGCCCTGCAGGTCAAGGGGATGCTTCAAGATTCCGTGATCATTGCAGCCTTTCTGCGCTTGAAGCTTTGGGCTTGTGGTCCCATGCATAGCTGAAGCTCTGAAGGTTCTAGTGTCTTCAGAATGTTTCATCAACATGATTCCAGCATGTAGAGCGATTCGGATGTCCGTTCTCTTGGCTTCAGATGGTGCATCGAAACTCACCCGAGCTACAGTAAATCTGCATCTATCTTGTTTTCGCGTTATCAAATCCTAGTCCTAGAACAGAGGCTTGAGAAGGGCCGCCTATGGAGTTGCCCATGATTTGGAGCGTAGGCTGCATGATGTCGAGTGATGGAGTTCGTGACCTTCGTGTCTGGTCTTCCTGTGAGGCGTCTTGCACAGTGAGATTTCCTGTTCGACCTGATAGAGGCATCCTATGATAGAACGGATTGAATATGCGGACCTGGGACTGGTGCGCGGATCTTTTTTTGAGGTATGTGGTGAGATGTCAGGCTCTGCAATGCAAGCTCGAGACCTTGAGCATGAGCAACTTCCGCTTTCAAACCTCAAAACCCAGAACTTGTCGTTCGAAGCGGCTTGTCAACCTTGAGCCCAAGGTCACCACGGACAATGGTGGCCCAACACATGAGTGTGCTGCCATAGGCGACCATGGGAATCGAAATCGGATTGTCCAAAGGGTTCTTGAACATTGCAACTTGCTGCAGTCTAAGCTACGGAAGCTCGGGTGTTGGGTACTGCGTAGGGGACAAGTGGAGTCGGCTTCTGGAAAGGTCTCACTTGATTTCACAGACCTTCTTGCACCACTTACCCCGCATGCGATGCCCTGGATAGATTCTGAGATGGTACTCCTTCGGATTCTTAGCTCTGAACTGCCAATCTGAACCCCAGAACTCTAATCATTAATCCTTTTAATTCAGCCACCTCCGCCCCGCCCAAGAGCCATGCGGACCCCTCTGTGCTTTTAGCCATAAATCCGCTCCGTGAACCCTGAACCTTCAACACTCCGATGCCTCAACGCATTTGAGCCTCTGTAAGCCCATACCCTTCGACGCGCCTGAAGTAGGAGCGTCAAACTGGCCCCTTCGGGGTGGAAAGTGTTCCATCTGGGCCCGCACCTTAGATGAGTGGAGTGTCTGAGGCCGTGGGGGCAGGTAAAGAATCATAAGTTTGGGTTCTTGAGCCTGAGGGTTGCATGTTCGGGATTGGTAATCGGGTTTGGCGTCGAGATGGGTTGAGGAGAGTTCCTATGCGTTGCTGATCTCAAGTTTCATGTCGGAGTTGGTTGAGTAAGAGGGGCTTAATATCTGACCTAGAGGCTGGCTCTAGAATCGGCCTTTGTGGATATCAGGGTTTAGAGCAGCCGCGAATCCATGTTCGTATCACCTTGACCCGAAGCAAGCACGGGTCGCACGCTTGAGGAGGGTGGCACGCGAGGAACTGGACTCGTGTATGCGCCTGGCGTTATGACACAAGGCTCGTTTGTTGTGTGCGGTATTGTGCGGTCAAGGGTTGCCGCTGGGACAAGGTTGGAATCCCGATCAGTAGGCTTTGCATTGGGTGTTTTTTACGTTCCAGCTTGAGCTCCATGTCTGCCATGTAGAGTTCGAGTCTCATTGCACCAGCAGGAATGTTGGTAAGTGTTTGACTAGATGACGAGTTTGGACATTCAACGGCCAAGCTTCAACAGCGATGTCAGCTAACCCTGCGAGCCAGCGCTGAGATCCACTTCTGCACTTCCAGCATCAGTAAAGGTAGTTTTTGGTGGAACATTTTGTTTTGGTTGCATCTGCCTTTGCTAGGGACCTAGTAAGCTTATCAAGCTTCAGAGTCCGCGGAGGATAAGACTACAAGGTTAGGCTTTCATGAGCTGGCACATCCTCCGTTGAGAGTCCCAAATGCGTACTCCCACATTTTGAGATTGTGGGCCGTTGAAAGTCTCAAAATGCTCCAAAGCGATCTGGGGTCTGACGCGTCCCAAACTCGTTTTCCGATTATAACATAATTTGTAGTTCGTAGGTCAAACCGAGGCGTTGAGTACTTTGTCAGACCAGGTGGCCATAGATAGAACAGCTCCGGCACATTTCATTAGCCTGCCGGGCTGCCGTCTTCATGCCTTTCATAGCGTCATCCAGCATACTTTAATGGACAAGTCTGCCTTATTGAGCGTGCAGCTTGTAAGGTGTATGTGGGGATGGCGTGCTGAGGTCCGCGATATGTGAAGCCCAAGCCTTTGTATGGACCTATTGCTTACACAGATTACGCCGCCCTTACAAACTGTGCAGGTTTCACATGGACTGGCCTGATGCATGCTGCAGACTGGCTCCCCTCATTGGTTGAAGGCTTGGCAGTCCGGGAGAGTGGGAGCTTCAGGATTTGGGGTTGCAAAAGGCAGTAATTCGTGGTGGAGAGTGCAGATTTAGGTATGCAGCCACGCAAGTTCCGTTCTGCAACAGATCCTCAGGAAATCTTTCATTAGCAATATGTTATTGAGATTCATCATTTTCCTGCAAAGTAGTCCCTAAAAAGGGTATTGGCATTCAACCTGATGGGTGCTCACATGTTGAAAGCTGCACCTCCCTTTGCGAAGCTGAATCTCCAGGGCCCCGCCCCTTCTGCACCTGCGCAACCTAGGGTAGGATCTCAAAACTCCTGAACAAGTCGAAGGCGGACTGCTTGGAATCTCCAGGTCTTCACGTGCATTGTTGCAGGGCCTGCAGGTCGATAGCAAGACGTTCTTGGCTTGCATGACGTCCTGTTAGTGAAAGCAGCACTGGAGCTTCTACCTTAAAGCAGGCTGGGCAGCAATGCGATTGACATGGACTTGTGCGTGTGTTGCCCAACGTCTTCAATCTGAATCATGGGAGCTTTGAGGCTCTTGGGGCAGTGACCCGTGGAGAATTTGTGTTTTCGATTCAATTCGTTCTAGCATAGATCAGGGCCAGGTTATCTTTATCAAGCTGAGCCCTTGGTTAGGCAGGTTCCTCTACCCTGAAGCCCAAACCCTCATGCCTAAACCGAACACCACTTTCTTTTCTGCCGCATGAAGAGCTATTTCCTTCAGGCGTGGCCATGGAGGATGCTGCCAAGATCCCTGATGAAGCAGCATGGTCCAATTCTTGGCCCCCAACGTCAGATATCCCCAACAGGTGTAATTATATGGTTTTCATAAAGACATTGTAATCTTCCTAGAGTGGTCTTGGGTTCAGGGGAGGTTGCAAGTTGTTGGCAAGGGCCCCCCATTAGAGCGTCCTGGTAGAAGAAGTTGCACAGCGGCCTGCATGGGAAAAGGCCTTGAGAGCAGCTGGTGCACATTTTGTTTCATCATGTTTTGATGCTTCTTTGATTTGGATGAATGATTTTCGAGGCTTCAGCTCATTCTTTGCTGACGAAGACTGATGAGGTTTGGATAAGTCTTGTTCCCAATCTCAAACAGCTTGCAACTCTCATTGCAGAGAAGCAGTTAAACTGAAGATTAGATGCATCCGCAAGGCAGCTGCTTTCAGTCTTGCTACGCCTACATGCATTTGGGTGAGGGTAGGGCAGGCATATCCAGCGCTAGTCACTTGTCTTTGAGGTTACGTGTCAATGCCCCAAGCGCTCGAAATACCAGCAACACTACATGGTAGTCTGCCTTTAGCAAGCCCAGGCAACGCTACCACTGGATGGAGTGAATCTCTGGCATGCCCTCCTTGCCAACCAGCTTCTTGGCAGAGTTTTCGGCTGTTCATGGTCAGGGTCTCGCAATTTAAGGCTTCCAGATCCAGTATTGTGGGTGATTGTGGCAGTCATGGAGGCCCTCAGGTTGTTGGGAGATAGTTTAGCTGACCTTTCCTTCAGTGTGACAGATGAGCACCATGTGAGGAGCAAATGCCTTTTTAGAAGACTCCCAGAAACAATGATCTCAGATCTTGGAGGTCCCAAATGATCAGGATTATAGTATATTAGAGTCTATGTTGGGTACCCCGTATTTTGGGAAGCTACCCTATGAGTAGACGTTCAGGGTGTGACAAGCAGCTCCTTAGGAGCACGTTGCCAAGGATGTTAGGGTTGCTGGCAATCTGCATGACGAACCAGATTTGCCCGAAAGAGCCCTAAGCGGTCTTCATACCAGGAAGTCGCCGCGGAACAACATGTACTACGGAATTTGGGACCGCATCGGGAATTCTGCAGCGCTGATGTGTGCTTGGATGGAATCGAAGAAGTAGATAGGTGAGGCTGCAGACTTCAGAGTAGGCATTGTTGACTTAAATCTTAAAAAGGGGAGCCTGAACCACCGACTTGCGTGGTAACAGGCAAGGAGATTTAAGGAGTATTTTAGCGACGCAGCTCTGACACATCTATGCCTGGTACAAACTGCTATGTACCGCCACCGCACGCGTTGTGCAAACTTGTGCCTTGGCGGTAGCAGATATTGCTGCAAAAAGCCTCAGGGTCTGGTTTGACTACGGTATGTGGGGCTGTGCAGGGCTTCCGCGCGACGGGCAAACAGGCCCCTTTAGGGACCCAATTGTTTCGGCATAAGAAGCCGGTTCCATCCTCAATCCATGAATGGTCTTCGCCATATGTAATCCCGTTACAAAGTGAGATCCCAACTTTTTTTTGGCCAATTCTTTCGTATAAGTTCTCTTGTACGTCGGGTCCAGACCTTTACGATCGCTCATCCATGAGGACAGTATGCCGGCGTCTGTGCATTTCCCACGTTGAAGGCCAAAGACCAAGTCTGTGTCTCACCCCGCGAAACCGCAACTCCTCTTTGACCCCGAATGCCGTGCGCAGGATGCAACCATTGGAAACGGTGGGCCAGCACTCCGCAACGCAGAGGGATGGAAGCTTGCACCCAGGCTCTAAAAGCATATAATGACAACTTCAAAAGAGTTGTAGGCTTGGATGGAGAGCCTACAACAAGAACTTCATAATTCTGAGATACTTTTCAAGTTGCGATACCTGCGCATGAGCTCAGGGTTCAGGAACTTGCCTGTGGGATCTCTGGACACCGGCTTTTTGGTGGGGCTTCGGTGGCGGGATCAGGGTCTAAGTTTAAGGGCTCCCGGTCTGGGGGCTCGGTATCTGAAGTTGGCTTTCATGGCTTCAAGCACAGGTAAAGATGCACAGCAATCTGCTCATGCAGGAACAGTAGCTCCTTCAGCGCCAGTCAAACGCGCATTTGGAGTGATGAGCCTCTTACTGGCAACAACTTGTGAATTGCACAGCTTCAACAGTCCAGTTCTTCCATATTTCGGAAATATGTCCCCACAAATCACATCCCACAGTTTCCATGTCTGAAGCGACTTCAGCCCAGATCGTGGGCGGCGGGGGCGGCACGGGCGATTGGCCGCGGCCACCTGCAAGGCCTGAGCTGTACTGGGAAAAGGAGTCAACCACGGAGGTTCATGGAGATAAGAGTCTTGGTGTTGGGCAGAGCCGTGCTGTAGTCAAATGCAATCGTGATCCCCCAGGCGTGCCCTTTGCACCCGCGATTCTCAAGTTGTGAGGGGCTTCCTGCAAACTGATGTCAGATGGAATTTGATGTTGGGCCCGAGCCTCATGGTTGAAGCGGTTCCTGCATGAGGGCAATTGTTCCGGCAGTGCGGAGGCTACCCGGAGATCTGCAGAGAATTGATTGAAACTTCAATGGTGATTGTCAAAATACCGCTGGGGTAAGATCTTGTCTGAAGGGTCCTCATTTTGTAAATGGGGAGGCTGTTCTTGCTTAATCTCTTTGTTTTTACCCAAATACCCTTGGGCTCATACACCAAGAAATAGTTGAAGCCTGTGCGCACGAACTACTGTATGCTTCCTGCCAAGGCTAGTTACCTGGGGGCAAACTCAACCTAAGTCCCAAGCTGTGCTTCCCTCGTGAGCCGATCTGGTACCTGTACTTGTTTTCTAGACGCTGCCATTCTCCTGCCAGCATCAGAAAACCTCGTCCAGGATCGGAAAACCTCGTCGGGCCAGAGAGCGTAAATGCAATTACAGCCATATCACAGACGAGACGACCCCAGCATTCTGAAGCCTTCAGCGTGAAATCGGGCTACGACCCCTTCAATCTGCTTGAAAGGAACTTCATATCCAACGAGTCGGCGCCAACGCCTGTGGTGCTCGAGGATGCGCCCCCTGGGCTGCCTGGCTACAAAAGCTTTTTTTGCTGTGTGTAATGAAGGGGCCTCTTAAGGCTTTTTGATTAGGATAGCTTCGTGTTTTGAGATTCCATATGTAGATGTACTTGTACCATTGGCCCATTGGCCCCTGCGGATTCAAGAGGTTCAGCTGGGTACACATGAGACATGAGCCCTCACAGCCTACGTTGTTGCCTGCAGAGCCAGACCGGCATTCTGCACCGCCTTATATGCCCTATAAACTATAATAATTACAGTATATTGACAGTGCTAAGTGGTCCACCGTTGTGTGTGCGGAGGGGGAAATCTAGGAGACCATTTTCGAGACCTTGTGAAATCCATCGGGAGTGGTCAATACGATCCACATTGCTTCTTGATGAGCTATCTGGGCTACATGCTAAGGATATCAGGGGTTTATCAAAACCTGGTAGGCTTCAGCATGCACTGTCACGAGTGGATTTCAATTCCCTCTTGGACTCGGCCTATGGCGCTTGTTGTCCGCTTTATCTGCCAACTTTTAAGACGACCATGCCACCCTCGTTTTCCCGCGCTTTAATGCATGATTTAGGAAATACCTTCTCTTCAACCTCAACGATGACCCATCGGAACACAAAGAATGCAGTTCTGACCACCCTGTGGCCTGTCTGCAAGCATAAGTGACAGGGAGGTCCGACTAGCGTGCAGAAGGGCCTCATGAATTTGATGCAATGATGATGTTGTTGTTGGTAGTGGCGGTAGTAGTAGTAGTAGTAGTCGTGGTGGTGGTGGTGGTGGTGGTGGAGGTGGCGCTGGTGGCGTAGAGAAAAGCGGTTACGAATGAGAACGTTGATTTGTGGGCCCAGGAGTTGAGAATCAAAGTTGCAATTCTGACTCCAACTCTTACGAGTCGTTGAGGCGCCGGGGTCTCAAGGCAAGTTTTGGAATTCTGCATTCGTATTTTCAGACTTGAAATGAAAGCGGTTTGTTGCCTCGTCGCGGAGCAGGTCAAGTTCAGAGGCTGTAAATCGCAGGCCCTCACCAGGAGCACTGCACTGCAAAATGTGAAATGGCACCCTCAGCATTAGCCAGCTCATGCATGGATATGTAGAAGCATCCATGCGCTTGGGGACAGTGTTCAGTACTGTCTATCCCATCCCACCTGTTGAGGGGTAACGTTCGAAACGTGAGCCCAACGTGCTGGCTATGTCCCAGTTCTGACACAGATGACCTTGGTTGAAATCATTACCATGTTCTCCAAGTCTAGAGTCTCGGCGTCCACATCCTCAGCTCTCAACCTCAGTTGGAAAGTTGGCGAACCCAAAGGCTGCAGGGCAACAAGCATGTGAGCCGATGAGGAAATTGCCCAAGTTCTGCTCATGGAGCTCCGCAAGCAACAGGCCACCTCTGCCCCACAAGCGCCCCAGCTGGTGGGCTTGAAGCTCGAGGGGAGCTTGCAAGCGTTATCTTGTTTGAAGGTAGTGGGGCTTGGGTGACTGACCGACTGTGGGGTTTGGGTGGTTTCTTTTGCAAGTAAAGTTCTGTGGTCTGTGGTTTTTTCGTTGTGGTCATGACTTCCAACGTTACCTGACGTCTATTTGAGGCAGCTGTTTGGATTGGAGATGAATGCCTGCAAGCGCTTTCCCTAAATGTTAGGGGCAGTAGGGTTGCGCAATGTTTCCTGCACTGCTTGAGGTTGTGGCGCCTAGGAATTCTGGATGGGAACTGGGAGCAGGCTTAGGATCACGGCCTAAGGTTTAGGATCGATTTCTCAGAGAGAGCTGCGACATTCGTGTGGAGTATCCGGCACTATGCCGGAAGCTGCGGCAAAGTCAGACATGTCAATCCAGATTTTCATTGTGCCTCCTCAACTCCCGCCGCTTACTTTCGGTGATTGTTTCCAGTCACGTCAGCAAGAATCTGGGGCCGGCAATTGGCTTTGGGATTGGGGGTTGTTTGCTGTGAAGTGTCTTTGAAAACGGAAGTAGCTCCAACAGAAAAGGATTCTAGTCAAGCTTGGACCTGCCTCACAACAAAGTCGGGTAGGCATATCATCTGGAAGGGAGAGAAGGCTGAAAAATGAGAATCCAGACCCTTAGCAAGTAGCAGATGCTCCACATGCGCATGGGCTACTGAAAGTAAAGAAGATGATGCTGTTTTATAGGATTCCTTGGAGCCCATGCGTACTGAACCTTAGGCAACCGGGGACAAGAGCTGTCCTCCTTTGAAGAAGCGCCGCTTGAGCTTCACTTTGGACTGTGGGTCTTGGTTCAACTGGTTTCTCTGTCGCTTGCTGGATCAGCGATTTTGACTTTATGGGTTCGAGTTTCAGCCCTGGGCTAAGTGGTTTGCACTTGAGGCCCTTGGTTGGTTGCGTAGTGTTGCTCGATGCGTGCTTCATGTGGATCCAGGATCCTCATGCGCTCAGGTCCAGCTAGTGGTGTCCTTCTGCAAGGGGTTCTCCACAAAAAAGCGGCCCACAACCTTAGGTGGCATACTAGTGCGATCGATACACCGTGCAGGCAACATGAAATGCTAGAAAGTTTGGGTTGGGGGCTTGAGGCTCTGGTGCCTGAGCATTGTTCGAGTTCAGGAGTCGAAGGTAGGCCAATGCCCGTACTCTGAGCCCAATGTAGATGGTTCTGCATTGCGGAGGGTTCTTTGGGTTTGTTTGTTCTCATAGGTCTGCGGAGTGGTCTTCAGAGAGACTGCAGCCTGACATCCAGCGCCTGTACCTTTATTCCCAACTCCAAAGTTTGCATCCTGAAGGCTGATTCCTCAACCATATTCCTGGCTGCCCACAAGCCAACATCTTCCAAGGAAAGGTCCTGGGACCCTGGTGCGACAAGACGGAAGTGGAAGTTGTGGTTTGATGGGGCAGGTTTGTTGGAGGACACCTGGCTTGGGTTTTAAAGCTCTCCTACCTTACTGTCTGCGTGTTGATCATCTCACCGAGTTTGTAAATGAATTGTGGGACCTTGGGCTGCAATGTGGCAGCGGCAGCTGTCAAGACTCTGGCGCCTGTTTGTTCCCTTCAAATCTGCCGGACTTAGATTTTGGAAAGCTCCCCTGTAGAGGGATTTCCCAAATGGTGCCTCACCCAAAAGTTTGTATGCACCAGTTGCAAAGTCCGTGCTTAGAGCGCAAGCCAACTTTAAAAGTCAGATCATACAGGGTATCCCGACGCGAAGAAAGATTGAAGGAAGTATTATTATCAATCCTCTTGTGATTGGTACGATTGCGATTCTGTTCCTGATTATTAGCTATCACTATTTGGCATGTTTTTGCACTACGGGTTCTGATTCCTATTTTTCCTCTTGTTAGTAGGCGATGTCGAAGCAGCAACAAACACAGAGCACATTTGCACCAGTCCCTACCCCGCTACGGCGGCCAGCGCTGTTTTTATTTGGATAGCCCTATCGTGAGTCTCCGTATTGCCATGCTGAAAATTAAGACCTGTTTGGGCAATCCCCGTGTACAGAGCGAAGCGGCCGCTGTGACTTGGACGGCGTCGCACTGCTTCGTAGATTTCAACGGCAGAGAGAAGCCAAAAAGAGTTCTCAGGTGGAGGAGGGACGAAGATTCGGTGATCGGGGTTTCGGGACAAAGGTCCAGGGTTGAGGGTCGGACTTGAGGTTCAGGATTAATTACGGTCCAGGTCGGCGCCTAGAATAAGGTTGTACAATGTATTCAGGGTTGTGCAACTCTTGTATGTCGGAATACGACAGCATTGGCTTTTCTTGTCGTTGAGGGGCCTTTCTCTGTAGTTTTGACAAGGATGAAGTGATCCTACAATCCCTTTGTTCATTCCTTTGTGGCTCTAGTTCTGTCAGGGGATTGGATTGAAGGTTGAGCAAGGCTTGTCTTTGATGCTAAGACTTGTTCTTCCAGCTGTGCTTTCCTCCTGTTCGTTGATCAGTGCACAGCTGCCCTCCGATGCCGGCGCAGTTGCTGAACCGGAATGTTTCTTCGGAGCTGAAACGAACACTTCCTGCATTGTGTTTATCATCAACCGTTCCCTGCAGGATCTCTTTTGTCTGCATGCCTTTCAACCCAAGAATTGTTGATTCATCGTCAAGAGAGGGGCTCGCGGCCGAGGTCGTATTGAAATCAAGAAGCAGCAAGTGGCTTCGTTGTGAAATCCAAGCTTACGCTAGATTAAACAGTACCCATATGGCGCCTCGTGTTTGCCTACGTCTTGTGGCTTGCAGTTCTGAGCCAAGGCTGGGACAAGTCCATCTAAGAACCCCAAGCCACGAAGTCTTCTGGGTTGCGCAACGAGACGGACCAGACATAGTGCCTGTCCTGCTTTCAAGCCTCATAGCTTTAATCAGCGGGACTGCGCCCAGACCTAGATACCTGGAATCACGTCCTCATAACTCAGCCTGCATTTCCAAACTGTGAAGCTCAAACATCAAAAGATGTCACACAGACTGACCCTTGACACGAGAGCAATCGCCACATACAGCGTTTGCCGTTGTCATGGGGTGGCTTGCGCTGCATCAAGTTTGTGTGTTCGTTCGGGGTTCAGGAGGCTTGGCTGCTGGTTGGTAGATGTACAGGCCGCTTTGAGTGCAAGGCATGCACGCAGGAGGGTAAGTTCGAGGTACTCTGAAGCACGGACAGGACAGAGAATGACTGCCAGGCAGATGCTCGCATAGAGGTGGCACGAACTAGTTAGTTTCAGCCAAGGCCAACCAAACTTATCTTGAAAAGAAGCACCCAAAAGACACTCAATTGGTCATCTGCCTTTTCACTCGGACCTGCTGTTCATTTTTCCTGCGTAGGTTGTTCAAGGCTCGTGAAGGCTGACGAGACCAACTCCTTTTTGGGCCGCGAATTTGGACGTTTGTTCTTGCTGCAATTTAAGCTTTTTGAACCTTCTAGTTTCTAGATTTTCCATTCGATCCTTCTACACAATCATGCGCACAGTTGCAGATTGGGGATTTACTGCCCTTTCAATCTATCGCTTTGCAATTCTTGTCTGTTCCGTGACATGCCCATGGGAGATTTCCTGAGATTATTTTTTTTGGTTCCAGCTTGCTGAGGAACAGTTTGGTCAAAGTTGTCACGAGGGTACCCCTAAGTGTACGGCGCTTCTCCTGCAATGAACTTGCCTTCTGACTCTGCAATTTTTGTAGAGGCGTGCCACATTGCCCCAAGAAAAAGTCTTGAAGGATATCGGAAAAGGGGAGCAGCATTCTGATGCGCCCCTTTGTAAATCCTTCCTGGCTACTTTTCCAGGTATGTCGTCGGATTGGTTTGCGCGCTTTGCGCAGCAGTGGCGTTCGGAGTTCAGTCGGCAGACCCAGCTTTTTCTACGCTCATGCTAGGATGTCTCAACCTAAAAGGGCTGTTCCAGAGAAAGCTAAGATAGATTATGTGGTTCTGAAAATCAGAGACGGTAGGTAGGATGGATCATTCAAGATTTTGCATAGAAGGCTTGGAGCAAAGCGTTTGTTCTTTGGATCACAGGAGTGCAGGTCCCCATTTTGAACGCAGATGCCCTTGGTGAGGGACTGTGCACGGATTGCAAGTCTTTGCAGTAGTTCATGAAGGCTTGGTGTTAGGAGTTTTGAGTGAAACCCACGCACCCAAGATGGAGACTGGCGACCATGGTTTGTGCAGTTTGCAGGGGAACTTTCAAGTGTTGGCATGAGTTGGGGCTTTACTAGATTCCAGACCGACCGTCTCAAAGTTGTGGGTGGAATGTCTGTTAGGCTGCCATCAATTTCTTGTCGACGTTTATTCCGTCGTGAACTGTAACGTGATGACTCGTGACTAGTGACCAGGGGTTGGGGGGTTATGGATGCGCAGCTTACAACATCCTGAACCTGAGGTATGTGCCTGTCAAGAAGTACGAAATCTTTGACGGAGTTACCTTTCAGTGGTTCATGTGTGCAGGCATTCTGATGGACCCTCGGCTGCATTGAGAAAAAGCCTTTGTTAGCACTTAAACAGGCCCTGAACGAGGAATGGGTGCTAATCATACTGATGCTCCACACCCAATTTTTTGCGCTACCAGCTTCAGAGTGTTGCACGCTTGCAGGGTAACTTGCGCTGTTGATGTGGATATGACAATGTTTGAATCATTATAGGTGTCGTTGGAAGCATCCGTTCCCAATCTCACCCATTTCCCGACATGACGAGTCCTAAACCTCAACGAAATTTCATGCCCTTGCATGTCCTCCCAGGCCGGAACACTTGCTACGCTGTCTCATATGGTTTTCTGGGGGGGGCATAGCGTAGAGGCCCAGCACCTGGAAACGCTTCTAAACATCGTGGCCAAGCTGTACCGTCCTGCCCGGACTCCTTGTCCTGATGAACACAGAATATTTGTTCATGACTGACAGTCATGAACATTCTGCTTCAAGCAGCTTTGCGGCAGCAAGGTCGGTTTCGTGTCTTCGCTGATCTTCGGCATCTTGGTTGACATGGCAGGTTCGGATTGTGTGCCGGCTGCCGCTAGGTGTAATTACAGTTCAGTTGCAAGGCTTAGTTGCCAGGGTTGAGGAAGGGTTACCGTTGCTTCAAAAGTTGGCGATATGTTATGAAGAATGCCTGGACGAGAAGCCATTCCTAGCGGCATGAATGTTGCCCTCGTTAGTGCCAGCTGGTAGCAGTGCTGACGGTAGCGGTGGTGGTACTTACAGCGCAGGTGGTCATGGTGAAAGTAGAGGTGGAACCACATCTGTGAAGTTCACAGAAGGCGCTCAAGCTTTGTCCATGTTTGAGAGTTGCACGCACCTGGAAAGGCTTCCAGAATCAGGTTTCTAGAAGGAGCCTGGAACTCGAATACATCGAACTGTCCTCTCCCGTGACCGCTTGATACTGACTGTGTCTGCTGGTTTCCTGTTGTCCATGCTGCGCTATGAACAAGTTCTGTCGAAGCCTGTGCCTTAGAAAAGAAGCGTCTGTCATGTCACTACAACTACGTTTGCACCCAAGAACTCATCCCTAGCCACAGTAGTTTGTAGGTGTCATGGCCATGCCTTGCCAGTTGAGTGCCTCACAAGTCACAAGGCAACTTCGGCATGGCAAATCGAGAAACTCGGCATTCAAGCAGATGTACCCGCTAAGGTGAACCATTAAAAGGCTGAATTAGAAGTGCTGCTGGCAGCCTTGGAATCAACATCTTAGCTCGGCATCAAGGATGTCTCCACTTTTTTCGTGCTCAGGCAGCCTGTGCGATGCCTCTGTTGTAGCGGCTTTGGGGATAGCCTTCCGCTAGACTAAAAGACCTGGGATACTCCAGAGAAGAGAAGGAAACACAGAACAAATATGTACATCCTACCTCCCTGCAACGCAATCAGAAACGCACACTGAGCAAAGTCCGAGTGAACCAAGGTCAGGCAGAGAGAAAGTCATCCAGGCATGAACAAGAGTCCCATAAAACGACAGGCCCCAAAATGAGCGCCTCATAAGGGTCCCATCCAATAGCAAAGATGTGGAGCATCCAGGCGAGGGATCTGGCAAAACGCTGCAAACGATGGGTATGACAAGCGCAGCGTGCCAAAACCCTGTAAAACAAAGCAATACCGGCAATACCCTTGATTCCTTTTACGAAGCTGTTTATAAGTAGTTTGCGCGGCTGGTAAAATCATGCTGATCCGTGAAGATGAGCCGTATTCAAGGTTGTTCAAGCCCTCGCCTTACAACAGTCTAGTCTAAGGAATGCCTGCTGATCATCGAGGGTGGCGCGCTTTGGGCGTTTCTTGGCGGCACCTTTCTCGTTTGACAGGTGGGAATGTTATTCGAGCCTCAGCTTTTATGGCTTGGGGTCCCAGACTAGTTAGGCTTTGAGAGTTATCGAGATTAGCAAGCTTGTCTAAAAAACATGGTGTTCTTCGGTGCGCTGCAACAAGCCTTGTCA